TCGATTTCCATTATCCCCCTTTCACGCATCAAGTTTCAAATGCGTTGATGCTTTCTGCTTCAACCGCGGCTTCTGGACAGTGAGTTCCAAGTTCTCGCCTCCCTCTGTGTGAAGAAGTTCCTCCTAAACTCCTTGTTAACCCCACCTTTAGCTTAGGTTTAAGCCCCCCCCAACCCCATTTGGACTCACCAACAGATGGGGAAACAGCACATCAATGACCACCTTATCAATGATATTTCGCCCACAAAATACACAGTCACTCCACTTTGCAGTGTATCCTGTGAAGGGCTTTGACACGTCTCGACGACCTGTTATGGCACTGTATCAAATGCCAGGATTATTAGTATTATTCCTGTCGTTCATTCTGTCTGGGTGAAGCGAAGCCTCCTGGCTGCTAACATCATGTGGCCGGTGTCTGTTGTCATTCTGCAACATTATCTCTGACGTGATGGATAAGTTTCTCCCCAATTCCACCCCCAATTCCAACCCCCCCCCCCACCCCCCATCCAAATTCCTGTTGTGTTTTCCGCTGCTGCATCTGTCCTTGTTAGGGCTTGTTCTGTCTGCTCTTGGCCTCCATCGGAACAACAACAAGTTAATTATAATGTTTTTTTCAATATATTTATATATTGCATAACGGCGTATCACATTCACACAGTTATTATAGAAACAGCACAGTTCCTGTCGCTGAACCTCCACAGCAGCGGGAGAGTGGAGGGGTGGGATTCAGGAGAACCGTCAACACAACACAGAGAGGTTTAATATAGAATAGGTGCGTGTGTTGCTTTTTTTAAAAAGCACTTGCAAGCGATAAAAATGCTGTGTTTTTTTTTAAATAGAGGAGGGAAATGGAGAGGAAATCAGGGTATAATATATCCGAGTGATGACAAGGCTGGTACTGTATCGGCTGCTAACAATTACCAGATTGTAAGAAGATTAAAAATTTGCTCGGCCAAAAGAAGACCAAAATCCATCTTGTGTTTTTAAAGTTATCTGAACAGCCCCTTGTGACTCCCTCTCACATCTTACAGCAACAACTTGCATTTGTATTACGTCCTTCACACGGCACTGGGTCTCGGAGCGTTTACCATTGATTGGGGTAGAGTGGGGGAACTCTATTTTCCCACCTTCCCCCCACCTCCCTCCGCCCCATCCAGATGACAGTTTGGCTCAGTTGGTAGCCCTCTCGCTTTCGGTCATCTTCTCCCCTTCCCCCCCCCCCCGCCACCCACACCCCCACACACACGCACTCATCCAACCGAAATGTTAGTCTCGTAGTGTCCAGTGCTTTGAGACGTCGTGAAGGTCTCTGCGTAAATATATTGTATTGTGTTCACATCCGAAGAGAGGCGAGGAGTGGCCCCGTGTGCTGCAGTGATCTATTACAATTATAATCGCTGATAATCCTCGCACTTGATGTGTCAACGCCTCAAAGCGCTTCACAGAGAAATCCTGCCAGACTCTGCGTGGTGTGGGGGTGTGGTGTGCGTGCGTGTTTTGTGGGTGAGCAAAAAGTCCGTGAATCGAGTGACCCAATCTATCCGAGAGGATTGCCGGCCGGGGTATAATGGAGTATTACAGCACCCGGTGCCTGCTATTAATCTCCTATATTAAACCCAGCGAGTATGCTGTCTCCTCTCTTTTTCTAGGCATGTGCGTGCAGACGGTGTAAATGGGATACTCGCGTTGGGAACCGTGCCAGGGTCACTGGAGCTTGTTAAAGCCTGAGTTAGACACGGGTTTTCCGCCCCCTCTGTCGTGCGACCTCTATACACGTGTTTCACTTTGGTTCTGGCCACAGTCAGTCCCATCGTTTTGGTTCTGGACTGATCCCCTTAAACGTGCCCCCTCCATCTCCAGCGTGTCGGGGTGGCGCAGCTTGGGGGGAGAGTGAGAGACTGAGCGGAGGAGACCAGCCCTGTCTCTATCGGCTCGGTTTAAAATTCCTTATTAAACTGTGAAAAATGTGCTGTAGACCGGACAGGTTTAAAATAGTGTGTGTGTGGTGTGTGTGTGTGCGTCACAGATACTCTCTCTTGTTTGTCTTCATTCAGCTTTGCTCTTGGTTCTCTCTCTCTTTCTTTGCTCCTTCTCACTGAAGCGCTCCGAGATGCGACCTAGCGTGAAGGGCACTATACAAATGCAAGTTGTTGCTATTTCTCACTCTCTCGCTCTCTCTTTCTCTCTACTCGTATGTGTGTGAGTGTCTATGAATCGAGAAAAAAATTTGTTCGAAAATTTCTAACACAATGGCCCACAAAACACACCGTACAGTCAATCCTCGCGAAGTGTTTCTAGACGTCCTCCCGACGTGAAAGAAGCCATAGCGCGTGCAAACTTTTATTACTATCATTGTTATATTATTATTTATTAAAATAATATATTATTATTATTTATAATAATACTTGTTATACTATTATAATATTATTGTTATTATGTATTATAATACATTGTTATTATACTATTACAATATATTATAATATATTGTTATTATACTATTATTATAATAATATATTGTTATTATTATAATAACGTGTTATTATTTTATTACTTCTTATTATCGTTGTGATTACCGCTGGGTGCAAATGAGCATTTTGCTGACACCACCATTCAATTCAAATCCACTTCAAATGAACTCCAGCCTTGTGATGGGTTAGAGAGTCCCTCTCACTGGTCTGCGCTGTGTGATTACAGTCTGTACAATTCTCTGGGTGGGGAGAGAGAGCAGGAGACGATAGTGACTGGGAGGGGGGCTGGGGGGGTAACTTTGCCAGCAGTGATGTAATTGTTGGGGTGTGGGGGGGATGGTTGGGGACCTGGGATTAAATGACGTCTGGTAAACAGGGTCTCTGGTGCTACAGCTGCACTCAGAGGTCAGCCAAAGACTTGTTAAACCTGACACCAGCGTCTGTCTGTCTGTCTGTCTGTCCGTCCGCTTGCTGGACCGGGTTATTTGTAGAACCTGCAAAACATGCCCGCTGTTTACCGGGGTTCGTTTGGTTTATTGAGATGGTTTTATCCTCCCATTACTCACCGGCTGTGTATGCGGGGGTGAGGGGGCGGGCGGGGAGGTGGGTGGTGGCGGTGGGGGGGCAAGAAGTATTCTCGGCCCTCCATTTGCAGACGTCTCTGCAGGAAAGTTGGAAGGTCAGTTGTGAAGGAGGTGACGGGTTGGTGTGCGGATGGGCTGGAGGGAGGGAGGGAGGGAGGGAGGAGGGGTGTGTGAGGGCTGTTTACTGTGAGTGGGGCGGGAGGTTTTACACTCCTGTGAGCGGGAGCTCTCGGAGTGAGTCAGTGAGGAATGCTTCGCCCTCCAGCACACAGGGAGTCGGGGAGACCTGCTCTTGTGTAAAGCGAAGAGAGAGAGAGAGAGCACGAGTCGGAAGGATAGGACCAGACGGGACCAGAGAAGCCGCTGTGTCTGATTCCAACCTCACGAATCGCCCTCGCGTCGACAGCCGAATGTTTGTCGAACCGGACGATTTTTTTTTAACATCATTTATTTGAGAAGGTGGAAAACAAAACTCTTCAGGAGGACGCGATGAAGTCGCAAGAAGACGGGGACGAGGAGGAGCGATTAGTGAGATGTTTGCCCTCCGCCAGGAACCGGGAACCCCTCATCCCCAGGAGCTGTTGTTGTTGACTCGGCGCAACAACTACCTGTGCTCTCCCCCCACCACCCGCCACCCCCCACCCCACCACCACCTCCACTCCCGTCGCCCGCAGTGAGCTAGAGGCCAGGACTCGCAGCTCGTGAGAGACAGCCACGAGGACATCACCTCCCAGCCCGAGCTGTGTCGTGCCAGGCTGTGCCATACCGTGCCAACATGAAGCGCTGGTTCTCCTGTGCCTCCACGCCAGCCGTAGGTACCCTTCCCCGCGGTTTAAACCCAGCCTGAGCCGGTATCGTTCACTGTCTTGCTTGAATAATCCTCGCATTCGACACAGCGCCATATCACGTCGTCGAGACATTTCGAAGCGCTTCACTGTGTACTGTGGTACTGGGTGAAGTCGCTGTATATTTTGCGGGCGAAAACGCGGCAGCTGATCGCGCACAGCAGCGTCCCACAAACAGTCGCGGAGTGAGTGACCACATTATATTTAGTTTTGAAGGGATTTTGATTATTACCCTCCACCCCCCACCCCACCCCACCACCCACACACCACCGAAAGCAATCCGCCAATCGCCAAACAAGAGGGCTCCTACTTACTGCTCGGGGATCAGAAGCGCGTGTGTGGCGTAAGGAAACTCGCCTAAGGTTTCTTTTAACGTCCCAGGTTTTGCGATGCGTTTCCAGGCTGTTGCTCGGGTTTGCTCTGTGCTTGTCGGTGTTTTTTACTGTCAATGGCTTCTGAGGACCCCGGGGCTTTTTGTGCTGAAATCGATACTCGCCGAGCTGGAAATAGACTTGGCCGATTTCCAGGATGTTGACATGCAAAGCAGTTTGTAATTAGAGACCGCTGATGGAGAGGTTAGTAAGTGGGTGGGAGCCAGAGAGAGACTCCCCACCCCCCCCCCCACACCCACACCCACCATACACACAGCGCTGTAATTGTGCTTCTCCTTGTGGGGGTTTTTTTTTTAGAAGCGAAAATAAAACTAGAGAATGGAATTCCACAATAATAATAATAAAATAATCTTTTCATTTGATTCACCACCTTATCGCATTCGCTGAGACGTCTCAAAGCCCTTCACTGGATATACTGTAAAGTGTAGTGACTGTGTATTTTACAGTGTAGTGGACGTGTCTGGCTTCAGTGTCTGGGCTTTCATTCGGTCCAGCGCCTTTCAAGTCAGCGGGAAGACCCGAAGTGCTTCACAGGATGTGCTGTAAAGTGGAGTGACTGTGTGTTGTGGGCGAGTGAATAACTCGAGAGGGTGTTTGGTGAATCTCTGTGTGGTTAGAGCACCCCTCACCTGGGGCTCGGTGGCTGAGGTCGAGTGGGGTTAGTCTGGTGGTATATTAATGTTGGGGATGGGGGGTTTGTGTGTGTTTCAGACCCCGGACTGGAACAAGTACGATGACCGGCTGATGAAGGCGGTGGAGAAAGGGGATGTGGAGAAGGTGTCGGCCGTACTCGCCAAGAGGGGGGTGGTCCCCTCCAAGCTGGACGTGGAGGGCCGGTCAGCGTAAGTGTGCCAGCAGCCGTCCAGCCCGGGTCACTCTCCAGGGTCTGGGTCACTCTCCAGGCTCTGGGTCACTCCAGGCTCTGGGGCCAGTTTGAGGCCAGTTTCGCTTGTTTCTTATTGGGTCGGGCCTCATTGAAGCTGGTGGGGGTGAGAGTGGGGGAGAGAGAGAGATGGGGGTTTAGAACGAGATGTTTGTGTTGCTTTTTCATGGCTGTTGCTCAATAGGTGAGATTCTGCAGTGACGGAGGTTGGGGGAGAGAGTTGCTGGACAGTTTTTTTTTGGGGGGGGGTGTCACCGGTTTGTTCCCCATCACTCAGCCCTCCCCGTCCGTCCATGATACCCAGTATCAACGCTATGCTGTCTGTCTGTCTCTGTGAGGAGCTGTTCTCCTCCCCACGGAAGGGGAAATCTCCAGGTGTGACAGCGTGGCTGACGAGGCTGATGTTTCTGATTTCTTTTTCTCTCTCTCCTTTTTTTCCAGCTTCCACGTGGCAGCAGCGAAGGGCAGTGTGGACTGTATCAACGCTATGCTGTCTCACGGTGTGGACGTAAATGTGATCGACGCTGCCGGTAACCCTTTCTCTCCGTCTCCTCCCTCGCTGCCCGTTATTGATGATGATGATAATAATAATAATAATCCCGGCATTTGATAGAGTGCCTTATCACGTTGTGAAGCACTTCACAGAATATATTGTAACGTGGATCGACTGTATTCTTTATGCGAAATGTGGCAGCCAATTGCACACAGCAGCGTCCCATTATTTTCCCCCAGAAAGCAATCCGCCAATTGACTAACCGCTGGGTTCCTACTTACTGTTAGGTAAACAGAGGTGTGCATGTGGAGGAAGGAAACTTGCCCCAGCCAGGAATCGAACCCAGGTCCTCTCGCTTGCGAGGCGAGCACTCTTAACCACTGCGCGACAGAACTCCCTATTACCGATTCATTAAACGTTAGCGAGGTCCTAAAACCATTGAGAAAAAATACTTTGTGGACCTTCGCAAGAGGTGGTGGCGGTACAGTTTGCTTGACAGAGGCTGACGCGGGAACGAGGGGCTTGTTACCCAGTGTATTTTCTCTGTGTACAGGCCGCAGTGCGTTACACCTCTCCGCTCGGCACGGGCAGTCACTGTGTTTGCAGAAGTTACTCCAGGTAATTGGAACCTTAGCCAGAGACGCTGCTGCCGTGCGCGAGGCGAGCGAGGCGTCAGTCACATCACTCTGCGTTCCTCTCCTCCTCGATCAACTATTTTTTTTCTCTTTTTTTTGCAGCAAAATTGCCCCGTGGAAAACCTGGACCTGTACGGCAGGACCCCACTTCACGACGCAGGTCTGTTTGATGTTTGCGCCGCCTTCTTCAAGGCCGACGGCTGTCAGATAAACAGCCTAACGGGAGGCGCAGCGCCCTGAGGCCCGGGTGTAAATAGCTCACGCGCACACTGGCTGGTAACATGCGGCTGCTAACGTGTTTGCGTGTTACTGTGGCGTGCTCTGAGCGTGTTAGGGTGGCGGAGTCTGGCCTGCGTGTTAGCATAGCGACGTGTTATAATAATAATAATCCTTGCAATTGCTATAGCCCCTTATCACGTCTTTGAAACGTCTCAAAGCGCTTCACGGGATGTACTGTAAAGTGTAGTGACTGTATTTCGTGGGCGAAACGTGGCAGCCAATTGGCCGCAATTGTTATGTGGTTTGAGCGACGGCGAGGCAGTGTTGGTGTGTTGTATCTTGCAGCGGTGGCGGGCTGCACTTCCAGTGTCAAGCTGCTGTGTGACCACGGAGCTCTGGTCAACGCCAAGGATGGGGTGAGTGGATGGGTGGGTGAGTGAATGGGTGAGTGGGTGGGTGGGTCGGTGGGTGGGTGGGTCGGTGGGTGGGTGCCCGCTCCCCGCCCCAGCCACGTCCAGAACGTGAGGTCCCTAAAGTGACGATGGCTTCCGCTGCTCGGCCTGGCCATCTCTCTATCTATGGAGTTCCAGAGGGTGAGAGAGAACATAAGAGGACATCCTCTGGAACTCCATCCTGGAGTCCCTCTGCCTCAACCCCTTCCTTTGCCTCCTTCAAGGCCTTATCTCAAGACTTTCCTCTCCCACCCGGCCTGCAGCCACCCTCCACCCCCGGCTCGGGCGCAAAGCCCCATTGCCCAGCGCTTTGGGCCGTCTTCCCGACGTAAAATGCGCTGCGTAGCTGTAATGTGTCGCCGTTGTGGTAGTTGTTGTTGTTGTTTACCCTGGCCCTTGTTACAGGATGGGAGGACTCCCCTGGTGTTGGCCACACAGATGTGCCACTCTGCTGTGTGCCGCATTCTGCTGGAGAGAAAGGCGGACGTCGACTCGAGGGACAAGCAAAACAAGTAAATCAACGTTCTGCTCTGTCGGGAATTGTGTGCGAGTGCGCGAGTGTGTGTGTGTGTCTGTATGTATGAGGGAGGGTAATTGCCGTGGAGGAAAGGTTTTATTGAACCATCCCCCAGAAGACAGAGTTCAAAGTCCTGGCTTTCAAAGCCCTCCACGGCTTTGCTCCTCCCTACCTCTGTGACCTACTAACTCCGTAGCAACCTCTCCGCTCAGTGGGCTCCGGCCTGCTCCACGTCCCCCTGGCCAGCCCGCACCCCCCCACCAGCAGCGGGTGGGTGTTCAGCCTCAATCCCTTACCCTCTGGAACTTCCATCGCGCAGTCCCTCCGCCTCACTCCCTGCCTCACCTCCTTCAAGTAATGTCTCAACACGTCTGTGGAGTCCTGTGGCTCAGTGGTAGAGCACTCGCTTTGCAAGCGAGACACCTGGGTTCAATTCCAGGCAGAGGGCGAAACCTCGGGCAAGTTTCCTTACTCCACACAGAGCCTAATAATAATCCCTCCAAAACAAAACAATAATAAATTATTCATTTTCAATCCACGACTGTTTGCGGGACGCTGCTGTGCGCAATTGGCTGCCGAGTTTCGCCCACAAATATACAGTCAATTCACTTTACAGTCTATTCTGTGAAGCGCTTTGAGACGTCGAGAAGACGTGAAAAGCGCAATATCAAATGCAAAGATTATTAGATTATAAAACCCTCCTCTTTGACTGTGCCTTTGGTCATAAACCCGCTCGGTTCTTGTGTTAATCCTTTATGTCCTTTCCCCCCCCCTCTCCCCCGTTCCCCCCCAGTTGCAGGACATCTCTGATGTTGGGGTGTGAGAACAGCTGTAAGGGGGCTGTGGAGGTGCTGCTGATCCACGGGGCGGATGTGACGTTGACCGATGAGCTGGGGCACAGCAGCCTGCAGTACGCACAGCAATCCAAAAACCAGGAGGTGCTCAATCTGATCAGGACGGCCACAGAGAAAGCAATTAAAGGCAAGTCACGTGTTTATGCAATGCCGCGTGACGCGGGTGGATTCCTCCCTGGACACCTGAGCCAGGATGAGGAGGTGTGACCGGGGTGTGACCAGCGAGGGCTGGAGGCCTGGGAGGCAACGGAGGTGCCCCATTGTGTCGCTGGGTGGAGGGACAGGTCACCCAGTCAACAGCACGGCCGGGCTGTTGTGTATTCAGGCGGAGCAGTGCGCTCACGTCAGTAATTAATGGGATGTGGGGGTGTAGGTTTCCACTTGATTTACACTGTTTTTTTCAAAGCCATTGTCTCTCCTGACACTCGTCAAAGCTTAATCTGATCCTCGCAATCTGTCTCTTTTGTTTGTTTGATCACTTGCAGCAACAACATCTACAAATGACATTTATACAGCGCCTTTCACGTTGGAAAATTTGCCTCCACACCCCCACCCCACCCCCCAAAAAAATTTCCGTTTGTTTTTCTTTGCTGGTCTGTAGCCAGCGGTTTAGCAGTCTCGCACCAAATCATATCTGCAAGTCGCACTTTAACTCGCTTTTTGTGGAAAAATTGCAATATTTTTCCCGTTTTTTGTGTGTGTGTTTGTGAGGTTTTTTTCTTAAAATGCGAAACTTTTGAAATCGATTGCCTACAATTCAGTCGGGTTTAAGAGGCCGTTCATTACTCCGCAGGTCATTAGATTCCAGCTTATTGTTAACGTGCTCCCCCTCCAACTAGTAATCAATCGCTCCATGTGGGAAGCTGAACCCAATTGAAGCTATTGATTGCGTTTTTCTTAAATAGTTTCACGGGGTAATCACTGCCGTGCGCAACTGTCTGCCGCGTTTTTCCCACTAAGTACCCAGTCAATTCACTTTAGTGTATATCCTGGGAAGCGCTTTGAGACGTCTCGAAGACGTGATGAGGCGCAATATCAAATGCAAGGATTTTTATTATTATTATTATTACCACCATTCTGTCACCTCTTACAGGTTTCATTCTTTTCAAAATATAAAAAGCCATTTACGCTTCAGGTGTGAGCAGAGCTCACGTCAAATGCTCCGAGATGCTGCCTTGTGCAAAGACACTGTATAAATCCTATATAAATGCAAGTTGTTGTATCTGCGTATGTTATAAGTAGAGCGTATCAAGCGAAATGATCAGATGGTTGGACAGGGAGCTTGTTCTGATCATTGTTGATTCAGAGTTGAACCTCGGTAAATTGGCAGATTGGACAGCAGTAATTTTTTTGTTCTAAGTAAACACAGCCTGCTGGAAAATTGCTTGAGAAATCTGTAATTAACTGTGTTGTTCCATTATCTTCTGAACGCTGGATGCACACTGCGAGGCTCCGTCATTGAGGAAAGTGTGATTTATGTCATCTGCAAGAAAAAAATGTCTATTGTTAATGATGTGCCAACTTCTCTCTGTAGTAAGACTGCGCTCTCGTGTGAGCTCACTGACACACGCCAACGGCCTCTTACCTGGTGTGGTATAGCTCAGCCTGGCGCAGAGTGTGTGCTCTCAACAACAAACAGCAAACTTGCATTTATATAGCGCCCCTCATACAGGGTAGTGTCCCAGAGCACTTCAATCGAGTTCGACTTAACTCTCGCCTCTCGAGTCCAAAGATTTTGGGTTCAACCCACTCCCCTCCACGTCATTCATCAAAGGAAAGTGAGGGTGTAACCGAGGTCAGGAAGGTAATTGCCTCTCGTGCCTTTTTCTTCAGTTAAATATAGAACTTGCCATAGGGATGGTGGGCGACTGAGGCAAGTTGAACATAGTCCCAGCGGACTGGCTGGGAGGGTTCTGAAGACCATCTGCTGGGCAGATAGCACTGTTACTCTGCCAATGGGTTAGTCTGAGCCATGACTCGCACCGTATATATAGAATGTCTAATGTCTCCAATTCCTTGTCATTCGCTGAAGTGGGCAGTGAGGCTAGAGGGCAAGGTTAGCAGATGGGGATTTTTAGGAAGATTTTATAATAATAATATTAATATTAATCCTTGCATTCGATATAGCTCCTTGTCACGTCGTCGAGATGTCTTGAATCGCTTCACAGACTATATGTCAAGAAGCTTGCCTAAGGTCTTGCCCTGCCCGGGAATCAAACCCAGGTCCTCTCGCTTCCGAGGCGAGAGCTCTAACTAACCACTACCTGCGGGGCTCCACATTTGTGTGTGTGTTTGGGAGGTGGGAAGAGAGCGGGGAACGATGTGGAGGGAGAGGGTGCAGGAAAGGAGGTTGTAGTGGGGAGAGGGGAGGGGGCTTTTAGCAGTTGATGGCTGGAGCTGGACGAAACGCAAGTCAAATCTGACCCCCTGTTGACGACTGGAAGGACCAGTAACTCTTTGGTGCCATCTTTGTGTGAAAGGCTGCAGTGCTGTAGGTGAGAGTACAGGACAGGCTGTGTGTGTGCAATACCGTTACCGTAGTTTCCTGGGTGGTAAATTATTCAGATTTGACATAAAAATAATCTACAATGTGTGTGTGTTGGGAGGGGGGAGAGTGGGGAGAGAGTAAAGAGCGCAGTTGGTTAAGATCCAATCTGTTTCCATATAATTGGCTTCTGAGCGGTTAGTTGAGTTGAATTTGACCTTCATACATGAGCAAGTTGCGGTGATAACCTTTTTTAGCTTTATTTTTGTCCTCCTCCCCTTCCTGAAATTTCTCAAAGGATAAAGTTCTATAAATCTTGTTGAAGTTCACGTTCCATCACCGCTCATGCAAATGCAGAGCCTCCGTTAAAGGAAATATATTTTTTTTAAAAGTCCTTTCCACCCACCTCATCATAATTAATGTGCGGAGCCAGTCGATTTGGTGAAGTTGATGAAAACCATTCACCACGCTAACTAATGAGAAAGCAAACCACTATTTATTCAATGGAGTGTGTGTTAATAATAATAATAATAATAATAATAATCCTTGTTGCAGTGTGTGTTTGTAGTTTTTGTGTGTGTGTGTGTGTGTTGTGCATGTGTGTCCGTGTTTCTAGTGTGGCGTGCGTTTGTAGAGTGTAGTTTGTGTTCGTGTTTGTGTGTGAGTAACCTTCACAGTAAATCTTTCAATACCCAGAATAAAGCTGGCATTGATCCTTATTCTTGCTATTCATACCCTGACTGACTAACCCTGTGACCAGGGAATGTTGGGGCTTGTACAAGCACGCGCACAACCACACACTTACACGCACTCGCACACAGGAATGATGCCTTGTGTGTATGTGTGTGTGTGTGTGTGAGAGGGGGAAATATCTGCATCAATCTGTGTTACTCACACATCTCTGTATGTGGATGGATTGTTTTCCAAGTGCTTTCTAAGTGAATGTAATGGGAGTCTGGCGTTTTAACAGTGACATGAGGATCGAAGCAAAAAGGTTATTATTATATGTGCGGCTGCTGCCTCTCTGTGCTGACTGGAGTCAGACCTTAACCACTCACACTCACTCGTGTGAGCTCCCGCTGCGCTGCTTGGTCTAAATTGGTCTGAACATTGATTGTGTTTGTTCTCCGTGTCTCGCTCCTGGGGTTGGATTTGACAGGACAGTGCCCGGGCCTCTCGAAACCGTTACTTGTTTGTTCAGCGAGAAATAACTTTTACGATTTACTCGTCTTAAAATGTCACCCAGCGAATGGCGGTCATTGCCGTCAGGTGCCGTCACCGTCCTTTGCCGGCAAAAGTCTGGGCTGGTCACCCGCTCCACGACTGTCGATGGGACACTGCCGTGTGCCAACTGGCTCCTGCGCATCGCCCACAAAATACTCAGTGACTCCACTTTACAGTATATCCTGTGAAGCACTTTGACACACGTTGGTGACGTGATAAGACGCTATTTCAAATGCAACGTTATTATTATTAACGTCCATCTGAAAAGATGCAAAGATGGCACCTTAAGCCTATACAATATTCTGCTCCCACCCTGTGGTAAGGACATGTCTTTGACCCTGGTCTTATACAGAGACTTACTCAGCGACCTGTCATGTCTTATCGGCACAGAGTGTGGGACAAAGGAAGTGTCGCAGAATAATAACTACAGAATTATCACATCCTGAAGGGGAATAATTGAGTTGGGGAATAGTTTGGACTTGTAATTTGATTTGAACGTGCAATTTTATATATTTTTTAATCTCTTGCAGAAAGAGATTCTTCTAAGAAATTAAAGGCCATGTCTCAGGTAAGAGTTTGGAAAACGCGTTGTTGTCTTGGCTCACATCTAATCATTGTCATTTTTTTTTAGAAAAGAGAAAATACTCATTGATAATTTGATAAAAGAATCGATCCAATGGGGTCTCTGTTTTTCCTTTCTCTTTACTTTCTCTATCCCTTTCTTTCTCTCTTTTTCCTTTCTTTCTCTCCCTTTTCCCCCCTCTCACTCTCCCTTCTCTCTCTCTGTCTCGCTACGTCTCTGCCCCCAGGGAGGTGTAATGCGGGGGAGGAGGTGGGGTGGGTGGGGGGAGATAAGGGAAAGAAAACTTCAGGGAAAATAATATTTGAGCTTTGCCCATAGCCTTCAAAGCCCCAGCGCCTTTGATCTTTTGTGTGACCTACATTGACATTAATAATATTTTTTCGCTGTCTAATCTCACGCACACAGACCTGTCTTCACGCTGCAAGGATGAAGGAGGGGAAAGGGCAAATTAAATGTCATCAGGAGAATCTTTTTATCCTTATGTATTCTCTGCCGTGCTCTGTGTTTTTGTGTGTGTGTGTGTGTGAGAGAGACAATCTAATCATGTCATCATGATGTCTCATAACATTTCACAGAATTTGGGTGTAGCGACATCTTACAAACAAACATCTGGGGGATTGTTGGTCAGGACACCGGGAGAGAAACTCTTTTCTTTTCCTATAGTGCCGCGGGATCTTTAGTGTTCACCCAGACTGACTGGACCCGGGTTGAATAACCCCCACCCGCAGCATTGTATTTCGTGAACCTCTCAAAACCCATTGCCAAAACAATGGTGCAGAGATGCCCATCACCTGCGCTTTGTCCTAACGTTAAGCTCTTGCCCACAAGGACTGCCCATCGCTGTTGGGTTTCACTGTGTTTTTATTGGAAGATTTCACAAGGAAACTACGACCGGGAAAAAAAGCTTCGGCCAATTTGATCTCATCCCCCCCCCCCCCCGCCCACCCCACAGACTATGTGTCCTTCCATCACAGCATGGAACTGTGATTTATTTTATTAAGTGTTCCCCGGTGTCCTGGCCTCAGCCACACTTCCTGGCCCCTGTTCCAGTCGTTAATTACCCACTGCATAACGTGCTGAACAGATCCGAAAAGCAAAACGGAAGATGCTTACAGCTGCGTTTGTAGGGAGTACGATACCCTCCCGAAATATTACTGAAATAATAATAACCCGGTGTCTAACCAACAAATCTCTCACGTTTCATTCCAGGTTGCTGAGGTGCAACAGAAAGCGGATCAAAAGCAGTCAGAGGCAGGTTCAGCACAGAGCCAGAAGGTGCAACAGAGTGTAAAGGTATTGCTCACGTCAAGGACACTTTATAAACCTAAAGAAAACTGACACACGCCCACAACCCGTACTCACTCACACACACACACACACGTCATATGCGTGTTCACACATATATATATATATATATATCCAATACGCGCACACTCTCTCTCACGCACACAGTTCTGCGCCTTTCATGTCGGGAGGATGCCTCAAAGCGCTTCACAAAATCCTTCGCTATGTTTCACCGTGATGTGCAGTGACCGTGCGGTTTGTGAGATGCCGCGGTGTGACTGGTCAGTAATCTCCTGCTCGTTTGCTGATCCAGGAAGTAAGGACTGAGAACGAGGAGCTGAAAGGAAAGCTGCGGAAGCTGCAGCAGGAGCAGAAAGTGTTGGTGGAGAGAGTGACCGGGCTCCAACAACAACTGAGCCAGGTATCCCGGTTTGTAACACACTTCAGCAGAGTGACTGCGCGCCTCTGGTGCACTGTTTGTTCACAGTAACTCCATCCCAGAGACCCCTCCGACTCGCTCGCTCTCGTTTGTGGTTTGACACGTTGACGTTTTGATGCAATTGCCTGATTGGCGCTTTTCACATCAGGAGGATGTCTCAATGTGTTTCACGGGATTTATTATAAAGTGTAGTGACTGTTTTTTTTTGTGTGTGCGTGGGGGGCGAATACGGCAGCCAATTCACACACCGCAACATCCCTGCAAACAGCCGAGAAGTGAATGAGCGATTAAATGGTGATTTATGTATGTTATTTGGGGAGATTGTTGACCAGGAAACCGTTGTTAAAAGTTCTAATGTCTTTGTGTTGTGCAGGAGCGAACGTCAGTGGAAGGTTTGCGGATGGAGGTAATGTCTTTTTAAATAAATAAAAATATAAAAAATAATGGAATTGTTTATACCTTACACTGCGCTGGGGAGGACCTCTAGACTCGAGAGCGGATTTACGAGCTGGAGAAGAGAGGGGAAAAGACCGCGCAAAGCGGAGTCAAATCTCGAGACGTGTCTATGAAGTACAATGTGACCGTGTGATTTCTCATTCCCAGAGAGAACAGATGAAGGGTCTGGTGGCGACGAAAGAGAGAGAACAGGGCGAGAGCCTGAAGGCAATTGAGAGTCTGAGAGCCAAGCTCAAACAGTACGAGGTGTGTGTGGGAGTGGGTGGGGAGGATTGGGAATCTTCTAGTGGGGGGGCGAGTGCTGTATTCTCTGTTTGGCAGTGTGTTGGGTGTTGTATAGTGGGGGGGGAATGGTCGCATTTTAGGCAATTGTACGATTCATAAAGATGAGATTTGTGTGAGTTTTACTGTATATAATTTACATATCACCTCTCGCGTCGGGATGCCCCGAAGCAGTCACTGTGCCGGGTGGTTAAATTCCAGTCCTATCCCTCGCCCCCGACTGCACACCCGCTGGATTTGGAAAGATTCCTGCGGAGGCCATTAGTTTTTAAAGCCTTCTTTTTTAACCTTTACCCCACAGGCTGGCTCTCCGAAAGTACCCATCTCGCCGGGACCCCATGTGGGAAAAGGTACGGACAATCCCTTGAGTTCTTGTCACACTGCGGGACAATCGTGAAAATCCTGGGATAATTTGGTAGCGACCTGCCAGGTATCGCGTGGGCTATTAGTGCGGAGATGCTGCCTTTTCAGCCCTCGGTTTCTCTCTTGTCCGTTGTGCATTTTCTTAAAACAAATACAGTGTTGTGTAAAAATATCATGAAGTTAATTTGATGGGAATAATAATATCATGGATGCTGAGATTGTGTTTTCTCTTTCTCTCGCTTTCGGTAGTGGTGGAACCGGCTGCGAACCAAGTCAATGTCTCTGGCAAGGAATCGCAGGTAACTTTTTCACCAGGTGGTCTCTTCTCGAGACACGTTCGTTCATCCTCACAGTACTTCTCTCTCTCCCCCTACATTTCCACTCCCCCCCCCACCCCACCACCCCCACACGCACGCTCGCGCTCACTCTGTTTTGTCTCACACACGCTATGGTTGCTTTGGGCGTGAATTAATCTGTGAATCAGGTGGGCGTGAATCTGCAGGCGATGGGACAGACCGAGCGCAGCAAACCCAGCTTGGTTTTGACGCGGGAAAATTACTGCATTTTAATCCCACTTAAATGTTTTACTTCCGAGGATTTAAATGTGGCACAATTGGATCTGCATAAAAGGGTTCTTAAAATATTTACTTGTTTGGTTTTTAAATAGCCTCTCCGCACCTGCCTTCAGACCTTGCAGAATCCCGAGGCAGCGTTATTTATTGTACTATTTGCATAGCAAAAAGCTTCTCGCATTGTCAAAACACCCCACGGCACTCCCACCGGGATCTACGCTCAGTGTAGTGACTGTGTGTTCTGCGGGCAGCCCGACTTGTGCGCAGCAAACGGCCCCTCAAATAGCCGTGACGTGATGTGGGGGTTGTCGGTCAGGGTCGCGGGTGGGGGTGAGGGGGAAGAGAGAGAAACGTCCCTTCTCTTTTGCTGTAGCGTCGAACAGTGCACCGATGGGGGGTTTGGGCTTCACGCGGCGGTTGGTTGTCTGGCGGCTCTGCCCCAGCCCCGCGCTGGGGGGCCGCGTTCTGAAAATTGTTTCAGAAAAAAACCTATTCGTGTTTTTGACTCATAACCCCCCCCACACCGCATCTCTCTGTCCCCCCCCCCACCGCATCTCTTTCCCCCCCCCACCGCATCTCTGTCCACCCCCCACATCTCTGTGCCCCCCCGCATCTCTCTTGTCCCCCCCCCCAACCGCATCTCTGTGTCCCCCCCCACCGCATCTCTCTGTTTCCCCCCCCCACCGCATCTGTCCACCCCTCCACATCTCTCTGTCCCCCCCCCCACCCCCGCATCTCTCTTGTCCCACCCCCAACCGCAACTCTGTCCCCCCCACTGCATCTTTCTGTCCCCCCCACCACATCTCTATCCCCCCCCCACCGCATCTCTCTGTCCCCCCCTCCATCTCTCTCTGTCCCCCCCCCCCATCTCTCTGTCCCCCCCCACCCATCTCTCTGTCCCCCCTCCATCTCTCTCTGTCCCCCCCCCATCTCTCTGTCCCCCCCCACCCATCTCTCTGCCCCCCCCCCACCCATCTCTCTGTCCCCCCACCCCCCCCCATCTCTCTGTCCCCCTCCTCCCTTTCGTTCCCTCTGGTGACCCCCCCTCTCCCCCTGTGTTGCAGCTCCCCCACAAGCCCAAGCCGGGGCCCTGCTCCCCGCTGCTGGCGGGCGCTGCTGCGGCGCCCGACGAGGCGCTGAAGAAGGACCTGGAGGCCACGAGGGGCAGGTACGAGGCGGCGAGGGAGGAGATGGGGCGGCTGCAGCGGGAGCTGGGGGTCAAGGCCCGGGGCTGCGAGGCCCTGGCGGCCGAGGCCGAGCGGGTGAAGAGCGAGTCCGAGGAGCAGGTGCGGCAGCTGGAGGAGGCCCTGGGAGAGGTGCAGACGCGGATGCTGGAGTCCGAGGGGAAGGTCAAGCTGCTGCAGGCCCACGTGGTGGCCCTGAAGGAGCACCTGTCCCGCCAGGGCGGCCCCCGGCAGCTCGAGGAGCTGAGGGGCCAAGTCCGCGAGGCCCGGGCTCGGCACGAAGAGGCCTCGGCCCAGGCCGAGAAGCTGGAGGCTCAGCTCCGACTGGGCTCCGCGGCCGCCCGCCAGGCCGAGGGCGAGGCCGGGAGCCTGCGCCAGGCCCTGGAGGCCTCGGAGTCGCGGAGGCACGCGGCGGAGAGGAAGGCGGCGGAGGCGGAGGACGACCTGAAGGCCGCCCGCAGGATCATGTCGCAGTGCGTGCCGGCGGGGGAGCTGGAGAGCGCGCGGAGCAACTACCTGAGCGGCCTGCGGGACAGGGAGAAGCGGTTGGGCGAGGCCCGGGGGGAGTGTGACCGGGCCCAGGCCCAGGCCGCGCGGCTGCAGGAGGAGCTGAAGGAGGCGGAGAGGCAGCGGGAGGCCGGTCAGGCCCGGGCCGAGGAGAGCGAGAGGCTGCGGGCGGCCCTGGAGCAGCAGAGCGCGGCCGCGAGGCAGACGCTGCTGGAGGCGACCCAGAAGCAGGCCCGGCTGCAGCGCGACTGCGGGGAGGCGCAGCAGGAGAGCGGCCGGCTCGGGGCCGAGCTGGAGGAGGCGAGGCGGGCGCTGCGGGCCCACCAGGAGGCCGAGGCTGCGGCCTGCAGAGCGGCCGAGGAGCTGAAGCGACGCCTGGCCCAGGCGGAGGCCGACACCGAGCGGCTGGAGGCCGCCGAGAGGGGCCTGGCCGAGCGCCTGAGCCGCGCCGTCAGCCCCGAGCGGCACCGCGAGGAGTTGGCGGCCTCGGCCTCGCAGGCGGACGGGCTGAAGGCGGAGCTGGAGAGGCTGCGGCGGGAGTTGGGTCGGGCCCGCGAGCGGGCGGACCAGGCGCTGGAGGAGGCCTCGGCCCTGCGGGAGGCGCTGAGGCAGCGGGAAGCCGAGCGGGAAGAGGCCGCCGTGACCCTGGACCAGGCCCGGCTGGAGCTGATCGCGGCCGCCGCCCGGGGTCGGGAGGCCGAGGAGGCGGCGGCGGGCGCCGGGGAGCGACTGTCGGCCGAGCGGGAGCGGGGGCTCAGGGAGCGGGGCGAGCTGGAGGCGGCGGCCGAGGTGTGGCGCCGCGAGGCCGAGCTGGCCCGGGGGGAGGCCGCGGCGCTGCGGCGGGAAGGCGGGGAGCGGGAGGCCGAGCTGAGCGGCCTGCGGAGCGGCCTGGAGGAGGAGGTGAGGGCGCGGCTGCGGCGGGAGGAGGAGGAGACGCGGCGGGGCCTGGAGCAGAGGCGGCAGCAGGAGGCGGAGCGGCAGCGCCTGGCGGCGGCGGGGCCGAGCTGGAGAAGCGGGCGGTCGAGGCCGAGCGGGAGAGCGAGAGGCTGCGGGGGGAGAGCGCGGGGCTGGGGGCGGAGCTGCGGGAGCTGGGCGAGAGGCTGGCGGAGAGCGAGGCCTCGCTGGGGCGGAGGGAGGAGGAGGAGGCCGAGAGGCGGGCCCTGGAGGAGGAGGCGGCGGCGGCGGCGGAGGTGGAGGAGGAGGAGGAGGTGGAGGAGCTGAGGGCCAGGGCTGACCAGGCGGTGGCGCTGCAGCCGGAGGCCGCGGCCCACAGTCAGGCCCAGGCCCAGACCGGGCGGCCCCGGAGCCTGAGCTTCGAGCTGGAGCTCTCGGAGCTGAAGGAGAAATACGACGTTTCCATGGCGACCACCCGCGGCCTCCAGAGCAGCATCAGGGAGTCGGCCCAACAGCTGGAGGCCAAGGACAACAAGGTCACCGCCACCGCCGTCACAGTAGAATGATAATACACTAATTATAATGCGGTGATGATGATCATAATAATAATAATAATAATGCTGCAGTATTCCAGGCGGCTGATGTTCGAGGCGCCTCGAAGCGCTCCGCAGGTCGCAGCGCGACAACGCGCAGGAGCAGGAGGAGGCCGTTCAGACCCTCCAGCCGGTCCCGCTCGGACCCGCCCAACACCCCTCCGCTGCCCGGCCACGGCTCCCGTCCTCTCCGGCCGGAGAGAGGGAAACTCCCCGCTCTTCTCCAGCCGCGCCGGGTGACCTTCAACGTCCACCCGAACTCGCAGGAACGACGACAGCGACGAATTGCATTTGTCTGGCGCTTTGCTTACTCTCTCGTTTTCTCACTCTCCCTCTCTCTCTCTCTCTCTCTCCACCGAATCTCCGCTGTGTAGATCACGGTGCTGCTGGACGACGTGGAGAGGCTGAAGCAAGCCCTGAACGGCCTGTCGCAGCTCTCGTACCCCAAGCGGCCGAGCCAGCAGCTGGAGACCCTCCAGAACCAGATCAAAGACCTGCAGCAACAGCTGGCTGTGAGTAACCCCCACCGCTCCGCTGGATGAGGACGTTGCGAAGCGCTTCACAGAATGCATACGCTGCTGCGTAGCGACGGTGTGCCGAACGCCCTTGTAACGGTGTGGGCCATAACCTCTCGCTGTCGCCCTATCACCTTATCAGCTCGTCCTCAATCAGTTCCTCCCCAACTCCCTCCCTCCCTCCCTCTTCCCCAGTCAGGCTCCACAGAGATGTTGGTCTAAGCTGTCACAGCGAAGAGAGGTTAGACAAGTCCCCAACAGTTAACAGGATTTCCCCCTCTTCGCAGCAATGATTTTGTGGAGGGTGTAGATTTTTGGGGGGTGGGGGGTGGGTGGGATTTTGAATTTTGCGTGATTGAGGTTTATTTTAATTCCGATTGTCCTCCGCTCTGGTGTGCAGGATGCTGACAGGCAACATCGGGACGTGGTTGCCATCTATCGGACACACTTGCTGAGCGCCGCACAGGTACGGAGCGGGGTGGGTGGCTGGGCTGGGTGGTGGGTGGAGCGTATCCTTCTGAAGCCAGTGACGAGACAGACATGACAGACCCGGGGTCCATCCCATCACGTGAGGACTGTCACCACCACCAAGTGATCATCTTCAAACACTCAGCCCTCGATGGATGGAATTTCTGATCTTTCTCTGAAGAGTCTTGTGTGTATGCAGGGGGGGGGCAGGGGTGGGGGTAGTTCACGGGCAAAGGGATTGCAGGGCCTGAGATGATAGAAGGAGCCCAAAAATTAAGAGGACGGGAGGGAAAGAGTAGCGAAGGAAAATGTTTCTGTGCTTATCTTGCACCCAATGTGACCTCTCCCCAGGGACACATGGATGAGGAGGTGCAGTCCGCCTTGCTGCAGATCATTCGGATGCGCCAGGAGTTTGTGTGCTAGCAACCCCCGCAGGGAAGGCCAAATACTCTCCCCGCCTCCCTCTTCCCCACCGCGACGGGCAACGGCATGTCCAGACTTCCATTCATCTCAGCTGCCTAAGGAATCACTATTATACAAACCTCTCTCTCTCTCGCTCCTTCCATCCCTTACAAACTGTATAAAGTGTCCCGTCCACTCCAATCCCCCTGCACCATCTGGCTGCTTGATCTGTTCCCTGTTTATTAAGAGCTGGCGATCGATCGCGGTCCAGGGGACATCACTGGATGAGACACTTAACGTAACACGTATGCGCTCGTGCGCTGACGTCCATGAGTTCAAACACACGCAAAAGCCAGTCAGAAATGTATCTTGCTGTTGACAGCCAGATCCTGAGAATCGGACCGAGGACACGGAAATGTGGATTCAGGAAATCCCGGCAAACAGGAATATCGGCAACTGCATGGGCAAAGGCTGCGGACTCGGTGTCCAGGGCTGTAGCTCTGGTGAGACCCGGGAATACAACGGCAACGGTGGGAAACCAGGAGAGATTCTATCAATCAACAGCCCTTCCCAAAATCGCTTTGAATTGCTTGAAAATCAAGGATGGGGAGGGGGGAATCCTTCTGACAATGCTGATCCGCACTTGAACCCGTGTGGTTGGCGGGTGGGGGGGAGGGGGCAGGAGGAGGGGAAACTTTAGACATTTTGATTTCAGTGTTTTTTTTTATTTAACATTTTATTTCTTCAAAGAAATATATATATTTGCTAAAGACCCAACGCTTGTGTTATGGGGTTAAGCCAAAGCGGTGGGTGTAAAGCCGAGCTCTGCAGTAAGTGTTACTTGGCTGGTCAAGTTTCTTTGCAATAATTTAACTAACTTAAGCGGAAAGATCGCTATGCTTTGCTCCAGAGAGTTACTGCATTTCTGTGTCTCACACCTTAACTATCCTTCATTGTCTGTCTCTGTTCACTGCACAGATCTGCTCTCCTATCCTGGTGTTTAATGTTTTCTCACAGTGGCATTTCTCAGCTGGTCTGGTTTAATGTTGAATTATGTGCAATGTTTTATTCACTGCTTTTTTTGGGGGGGGGTTGGGGACGAGGAGGGGGAGAAATCCTGTCTGGCTCCAGATTTTACTCCAATGAGCGTCACAAATTTGGCAACTTCTTAAAACATAGCCTGAATTTTTAAGCCTTTTGTCTGTGAAGGGAGTTTCTCTTTTCTCTCTCTTCCTCCCCCACACCCCCAGCCACTAAAACCCCAAACAATCGCTCATCCACAGCTTCACGGTTGTTTGCGAGAAGTCGCTGTGTGCAAATTACTGCCGTGTTCGGCTACACACAAAATAGAACGGTCACTACACCTCACAGTAAATCCTGTGAAGCGCTTTGGGATATCTTCGGTTAAGACTTCTTTTGCCCACAAAACACACAATCACTCCAGTATATACTGTGAAAATGCTTTCAGACGTCTCAACGACTTGATAAGGTGCTATATCAAATGAAAGGAATATTATTTTTATTGTTATCAAATGTCAAGATTATTATTATTATTTTCTTTGACGAACTAACTGGGGGGGAAAACGTCAAAAGTTACACCTGAGGTCAGTGATTTGCCAGATGCATGTTGCTCTGAGGATGTAGCAATCAGACGGGATTTCTCCTGGTTTGCTCTATGTCTGGACAAAATACTGGTTTCATTTGACCTGCTGGTCACTGTGCGATTATTCGTGATGTATCTGCTGACTTTGTGTCCGTGCGCAGTTGAACCTCGCGGTAAATGTCTCCGCCAGGCTTCGTGGCCAAGGGAAGAGCGGTAACGTTCAATCTCCCTCTGCCAGCACTGAGTGCCTTCTTTCCCCTGCCCCCCCCCCCCCCCCACCAGTGGGGTAACTGATTATTGCCCCAAATACAGACTGAGCTCCCTCCCACCCTCCCATGTCCCCCGTTCTGTTGCACGCGCGCTGTTAAACCCTCTGATTATCATTCCAGTACACTCCTCGCTCGCTCTCGTTCCCTGATCCTCCAGCTCTGTTCTGTTTTGCCCCCTCCCCGGCTCTCAGCGCCCCCTCCTCACCCAGTCCCTGCTCCGTGGCTGGCTCCTGTGTGTTCAGTACCTGGGACAATGCCACGCACTGATATCTACGCAGTGAGCTCGGCACGGAGTAACATCCTAACATCAGTCACTCACTTCCCTCCCCCCACCCTCGCTCACTCTCACACTCCCCGCTCACCCTGAGTCAGTGGCTCATTCACTCTGGATCTCAACTCCGGTCAGTTTCGCTCAGTGACTCTCACCCTGAGTCGGTCAGGCTCGCTCACTCCCAGCTCAGTGGGAGTGAGTTTGAGCCTTGTATCGGGATGTTGGCTCTCAGTCTGACCTGGTGCTGGCGGTGAATGCAGGTATTATTGTCGTAATAACGGCACAGAGCCAGCCACGTGCTGCACCATCTGTGTGGCAGGAAAAGATCGAGTGCAAAGTGAGCCGGGCGTCAGAGCGGGAGGGAGTGCCACGCTTGTTAAGTCGGAGGCGTGTGTAACGGGGAGATTCACTGTAACGCAGACAGACACAGGTTCTGGTTTGCTCGCTCTGCCGGAGTTTCCTGAATAAAGCATTTTTTTTTAACAAAACCTGCCCTACCCCACACCTCTCTCCGTTGTGTATATTTACTGTTTAATCTGGTTCCCTTGTGACTGGAGAAAGCACGGTTATCGCAGAGTCTTTCCCACAGAGATGAGAGTTATCTGAAACACACAGTCACTACACTTTATGGCAATTGCTTGTGAAGCGCTTTGAGATGTTTCAAGCGCTGAATCAAACGCACAGGTTATTTATTATCGGCCTCTGGATTCTCTGGAGTTATGACATGCAATGGGAACGCTTGCCAGACTGCTCTCGGTGGCAAGCTTTGTGGTTTTACCTGGTTAAACTCAAGCAGTAACCCCCCCCCCCAATAAACACTCACTGGGGCTCCCAGTGTCTAATACTCTGGAATTAGGTAAAGCAGGATGCCCCCCCCCCACCTACTCCGGGACAGAGTGCACATTTTGTTCCAACAATCTCCCTCTGGGATTTCCAGGAGTAGGTGGGATTCATGGAATTCTCAGTTGGGTTTGGAGACTCTTGAGCGACGGCGATGGATTTCCGCGCGTGTCAGACACCCGGCCGTGCACGGACCAGATCTGGTCTGGATTCTCAGTGATGGGTTTCTGGATGACCCCCCCCACCCCACACCACTCCCCCCTTCCCCCCCACCCAAAAAAAAAAGAGATTGATTCATTTAATACAGTGAAACCAGGTCTGAAGACCTGATCTCACTGCCTGGTTCCTGCCCCATCTCTCAGCAGTTTGGGTTGCGCTGTGTGGGGCTGTCTGTGGCCTTCACTAACCTGCCCACAGGGGGCGCTCTCCCACTGCAGCATCCAGGTGGACAGGCCCTTGCGTGTGATTCTACTGCCCCCGGTGGCCGCGGTTGGTATCAGTCCCTCCCCTGTAGTAATAATAATAATAATAATAATAATCCTCCCATTTGACACAGCGCCTTTTTAACACATTTACGAAACGTCTCAAAGCGCTTCGCAGCATAGACTGCGAAGTGCAGTGACTGGGTATCTGTTGGCAAACGCGGTGGGCAGTTTGCGCGCAGCTGTGTGTCCCACGAACGACGGCCACAGAGCAGGCGATCGATTTGACTTGGGGGCCACTGTTGGCCGGTATTATCGTGCAAAGCGCTTCGGGGTGTTCGCGTCACGCGAGCGGCGCCGCGTGAACGCTGGTCGCTGCGCGCTCCCGCCCCCCCCCCGTATCCACGGGAAGGCTCACGGCCAGGACACGCCGGCGGGCTGGCGGAGGAGTCGCGTTCAGTTTGCTCGCGTTTCACTGAGGGAGGAATTGGCTCCGTTCAGATAGCCTGAGGATCACCGGCCTGTGGCTGCGGAGGGCAGGACAAGACAGCCAGTGACCTCAGTCAGTCTGGCTTCACATCAGAGGAAATCGGATCAGCACTAATACATGCGAGTAGCACAACAGTCTGGGCCGGGCTGGGCCGGGCTGGGCTGGGCCGGGCAGGTCGGGTCAGGCCCAGAGAAAGAACAACATTTTTTCCCTTCGGAATTCAGCAATTTTGAATCCAGATACCATCAGTCACCCACACCGCAGTTGTTTGTGAGACGCCGCTGTGCGCCATTGGCTGCCGTGTTACGCTCACCAAATATGCGGTCACGCCACTTTGCGGTACTTTACGCCCCGTGAAGCGCTTCGAGGCGTCTCGACGGCATGCTAAGGCGCTGCGTCAAACGCAAGGATTGCTATTTAAAATAAATGATCTCAGCCCGTCTCCTCGCTCACTGTTTTTCTCTCTCTCTGTCACATTCACTTCTCTCTCTGTCTTTCTTTCTGTGTGAGTGTGTGTGTGTGAATACGTCTGTGTCTCTCTCTGCATTGTCTCTGTCTTTCTGTCTGTGTGGGTCTCTCTCTGTGTCTCACTCGCTCTGTCTCACTCTTTTCCCCCGATAGACTTTTATTGAAAATCATAAAACCCAGAAAGTAAGCAGATGTTGGCTACAGGTGCAAATTAATATGTGCAATAAATGGGATCTTGCTGTGCACAAATTGGCTTCTGTGTTTGCCTACAAATATGTTGTCGCATCACTTTAATTATTTACGTATATTTTGTGGATGAACACGGCAGCCAATTTGTCCACAAACAGCCATGAAGTAAGCGAGTGATTTTATTTTGGGGGGATTTGTCGGCCAGGATACTGAGAGAGAGAAACTCCCTTCGCTTATCCGATAGCCCAACGGGATCTTTTCACGTCCCCTTGAACAAGGCACAGACGGGGGCTCGGTTTGACGTCTCATCTGAAAGGCTTCGACTGGTAATGTGGCACCTCCCCAGCAATGCACTGGGGCATCACCCTGGAGCTCAAAGTCCCCGATGTGCAGCTCGAACCCACAATCTTTGGCCCCCAACGCAAGAGCCTGAGCGACTGACCTGGGCTCTGATGTCAGTGGATTTCCCCTTTAAAAAGGTGAGTTTTGGGGCAAAGGGATGGCTCCTGGAGGGGAAATTACCGTTTCTCTCTCTGCATCAGGTGAGACAGGTGTCAGGTGTGTGACCCATAATTATCTCCCTGGACACGAGGTGGAAGAAGGTGCTTTAATCTTGGTTCAGCGACGGTGAGTAACCCATTGATTCTCCCCCTGGTTCTCTGTCAGATTGTTTAAACTGTTACAGGTTCACTTTGCTTTACGGTCACCGTTCACAAACGTGTGCGAATATGTGTGTGTGAGTGCGCGCGAGTGCGTGTGCGTATCTCCCAGATACAAATTGGCCATTCTTTTCATGGCTGTTTGCGGGACATTGCTGTACACTTGTGGAGTCCCGTTGTGCGGTGGTTTTAACGCCCGCCTCGCAAGCGAAAGGACCCGGGTTCAATTCCCAGGCGGGACAACACCTTAGTCCAGTTTCTTTACCCCACACACGCCTTTGTTTAGCGAGTAAACAGGTAGAAACCTGGTTATTAGTGAATTAGTGGATTGCTTTCCAGCGGGGGGGTGGGGGGGCAGTGCAGGGGGTGGGCTGCAGGGGGGGGGGGGGGCAGGGGTGGGGGGGGGGGGGGGGGGGGGGGGGGGGGGGGGGGGGGGGGCAGTGCAGGGGGTGGGCTGCAGGTGG